TTCTCAGATTTTGGCGGAGTTAAGTAGTAGACCCCCAGGTACACCATAGCTCAAACCCCACCTGCCAATTCATGCGCTATGTGCTAAAAAATGTGCTTCAAAACTCCACCAGCCCCGCCCGCTTCCACTGAGAAGGCGTCATTGGTGGAGTTTTGAAGCGCGTTCTTAAAAACTTAGCGCATGAATTGCCATTTTGCCTGTCCACTGCCTTTAATAACAATACCTCAAATTAAGTAAAACATTCCCGGGAGTGGAAAGTACCACAAGGATCCCAACAAAAAACCCCAAGTTGTGGCGGTGCACACTCAATACTGTCCTATCCTACTCATCGTCAAAATTTCTATGTCACAGTCAAGTTGATCCACTTGATCCACTTCGTGTAAAACCCGCCGTCACTACTTCGTTAATTGACGTCGCGTAGGTAAAAAATGTGTATGGTTGCACAAATTCGCTGTACGCGACGTCAAATGACAAAGTAGTGACGGCGGATTTTATACGAACTGGATCAAGCGGATCGCGTGGATCAAGTGGGTCAAACGGATAAACTGGATCAATTATGGCGTGTGCGGTCCTAAGTACTGGACGAAAATTCAAAACTTACTCAAAACGATGATAAACTGAGAAGAAAAGTTGTATCAAACTAAAAGTGCTGTACTCAATAGTACAAAGGGCAAAAAGAAGAAAAACGCCGTATACTCACCTATCCAACATTCGAGTATGCGCTCTCTCAAAAGTTCTTATAAGTTGAGGTAACTGATTGTCATCGTAGAACGCATGCCCCCAACCAAGAACTCGAGCTAGGTCATTTCCCGTTCCAAGCGGTAAAATGCCGAGTTGACACTGATACATACAGAAATATTGTTCAGAATTTGGAGATATGCCAAAGACCAATTCAATCGATTATGACCATTTCTTACCTTATTATGCAACCCAAGTCTGTCAAACGCTCCCAACACCCATCCTACAGTACCGTCACCGCCACATACGAGAACTCGAAAGCAATCAAGAGTGTCAAAGAATGAAAGCCTAAAAGCTTACTATCACGAATTGCATAGACAAAGTGGGTAACTGAACATACGCAAAATCCGGTCCAGTTGCAATGATGTCAAAAACTTGCAGCGGATTGAGTAATCGCTTGAATTTGCGAATCATACGTTGCCCTTGATTGTCACCGGATTTCGAATTCACCAAAACAAGAAGTGGCGAACCTCCCCCGCATTCTCCGCCTGCAATTCAAGGTGAAGCATTCTTTCTAGAAAATTTCTAAGGACATTACAAAAAAAGTGCTTACGGCAGTGTCCCGGGAAAATTTTGTTTTCCAGTATTTCACATTTTCGGGGCCATCTAGCCATGAGGAACCCATATCTGAGCTTTTCCGCGCATAAATGGCAAAACGAGCCTTTTTCAAGCTTTCCGGACCCGCATTCAGTAAAAAATACGTGTAAGTGGGCGGAGTCCGAAACGAGGGAGGC